AAAAGTTAGTAGAATCCCATACCTTTCCATCTCACTCTGAATGGAGCAACACCATGCTTTGACATTTGTAAATATATGTATCCATTTTGTATATGGGCATGCAAGACTGAAACAAAGCGTAAAAGATACGAGAATAAACAAAACAAGTTATGGCCTATTGGGTATTCAGAGAGAGAAAGAGACTATTACGATCCCGGTAAGTAAGGCTGAGAGCATACAAAATACAAGATTCAGAGAGAGAGAGAGTGAGAGCAAACAAAAGATAGATTAGAAAGAGAAAGGGCAATTAGGGGCATCTTACTGGTGATGAGAGAGAGAGAGAGCAACGAAAGGATAACTTTGATAAAAAAAGGGCAACTACAAGCAAAAGGAACTCATCTTCCAAAACCAAATTTTTAATAAAGGAATGAAAGAAAAAAAAAACGCATATAAAGTTTTTGCATCCACCTTGGTCATCAAGATCTTGAGTTTCAAATCGTAGCAAGTCTTGAGATTCTTCTTCCTCCTTTCAACTCTTTTGAATTCCCATAAGCTTGAGTCTGACTCTTGTAGGATATAGCGTCCCTCCCTGCAAAACAAAAAAAGTGCTAATCATAAGCACTTAAAAGCATAAATGAACAAGATAATCAATTGAAAATTTAAGCATTTGAGATCCGAAAATCGTATCTGACAGCTAAGCGTTTCACTTGGGGCGGGGGCGGGGGCAGGGGCGGGGGAGAGAAGGAATAAAATTCCACTAGAAACCACAAAATAAGGCTTAGAAACACAATTCAATTCGCTAAACCCTATAAGAACTCTAGAATCTCCATAAGATGGCATTTTCATTAAAAAAATACATATACCAAAAAAAAAAAGGAAAAGAAAGTTAAACACAAGAGAAGCTCTGGAAGCATAACTTCGACATTATATATCCTAAAAAAATACCAAAACATCCAAATCCAAACACACAGGAAAATCATAGAGTATTACCAATATGAGGAATCATATGAAGAACTCTTCTCATTCTCATTTTCTGTTTCAATTTAGCACAATATCAGAAGAAGAAGATAAAGGAGAAAAAATAGTAAGTATTACCAATGGCCTCCTATAACAACATCTCTCTCTCTAAAGTGGGTCAAATCATTGGTGAAAAGAAAATTGAAAGGGACATGAAGTTGGGAATGTTATGACAATTCATGCCTCTCTTAAAACTAAGAAATCAAGTTGTGACAGTTGAATTAAGAGGAAATGTAGAACAAATTCAAAGTAAATTAATACAAAGTTGAGAGAAAAATAAGAGAAACAAAGGCGATTGAACCATTGCTTACGGGGTAAGTTAACGTGTGACGACATCCTGAGGCAACGAATAAATTGCTTTTTCTCCAATATCTCCCTTTCGACCCAAAGATTCTTGGAACAAATGTTTGAAAAATCCAGAAACCAGAAAACAAATCTTAGAGAGAAAAACTAAATAGAGATAAAGAACTTTTAATGGTATTTTTTGTTAAATCAAGATTTTAAATTTACTCCTATTGTAACTTTATTTTTCTTTAAACCAATTTTGAATAATATTAAATAAATAAATAATAAAGTTATAAGGAGTAAGTATTTTTTAGAAAAGATAAAATACGAATTTATATCAATACTATTAAAAAAGCAATTTTTTGAAGATCTTTTAAAAAACTCAGGATTCGTAACGGATTTAAAAAAAATCATGTTTTGAACGGAGACTTAGCAACTATGATATTTGCATAATAGCTAAATCTAACGTCGAGTTTCATTGACCTGAGCCGAGCCGAGCCGATGTTAGCCGCAACGAGCCGATATTAGCCAGTCGAGCCGATGTTAGCCAAGTCGAGCCGACGTTAGCTGAGCCAAGCCAAGACATTTTAGCACGAAAAAGCCGAGCCGAGTTCAATAAATAGTTGGTCTAAAATCCCAAAAATGAGAAAATCGATAAAATTATGAATAAATTATTAAAATAAAAATTGTGAAAAAAAAAATTTATTTTAAAATTTAATTTTTAGAAAAAATACGCTAAAAAAAATTAACGTGGGTAAAATGCCGTCTATTTTTTAGGGGTTTATGCAATTTTCCACTTGGAGAACACCACCGAAGTACGGCAACGGCTCTCTCGCTCTCTGAGGCAACAACTCTCTTTATATGTCAACGGCTCTCTCTCTCTATATGGCAACGTCTCTTTCTCTCTCTAAGGCAACTCTCTTTCTCTCTCTAAGGCAACTCTCTCAAAAGCAACGGCTCTCTCTCTCTCGGCAACGGCTCTTTCTCTCTCAAAGGCAACGGCTCTCTCCCTCTGAGGCAACGACTCTCTCCCTTTGCTTTGACATGCTCAAGCGAAACACAAAAGGCCTGGCTGCAACTCCTTTCTCTCTCTCACTCAGAGGTTACTCTCTCTCTAAGTAGACGTCCCCATTAACAATCTACTGATCTACTCCTCTCTCTCTCTGTATCTTGATCAGAAACCGATCCATCTCTCTCTGCATTTCTTGATCACAGAGCCAGCCAACATGCATCTTGTCAAATTTCTTCCCCCAGTTTGGACCATAAGGCTTCATTCGTCATTGATCAGAAATCCATTAATCTTTTTCTTCTTCCTCTTTTGCAATCAAGAAAATGGTGAAGGGTACTTCAAGCGAAGATGACGAGCTCAACAATGAGAGCCCACCCAAAAAGGAGTGTACTCATCTGGATCTCTGTTGCATTAGATTTTGGTTTTTCTGACAGGTGAAATGTTCAAGCATACGATCATTTAACTTCTGTGATTTATGAGTGGCTGATGAGCAACCTCTGATTATTCTTTTAATCATCTTTAGGTTATATTGGTGAAGATATAAATTCTCCTCTGGTAAGTTCAATTCCTTAGTGGGATGTTTATTTCATGCTCGTATTATAATTGAAAGATAGAGGGTGATTTAATGCGTGCTTTTGATCTGGTTGCATTTTCTGGATGGAATAGCACTTTAATTTGATGTGCATTATGCTAGATTCCCTGGATTGGACCCATCGGTCTCTGATCGAGTTAAGAACCAGACATGGGTATTGTCTTTTTTGTATTGTATTTGGTGAATTGCAGATTTTTAGGTAGATTGGGCATAGGCTCAAAAGATTTGAATTGTTTAGGTTTTAGGTTATAGGCTATTCACTAAATTGCTTTTGTGCCTTTTCTTCTTTTTAGGCTGTGAAGTCCGATCACATAATTGATGTCATTCAGAAATTAAGTTCACCGCTCACTAAGGTACAACTTCATGTTGAAATCCATTGGCTTTTGAAAATCATATTCTTGTACGTAGATGCAGGAGGGATGGAAAGAAAAATTAATCTCCTGTTGCTACTTTGCTAGTATAACTGCCTTAGTTTTTCATCTCTACAATGTCAAATGATGCTGCAAATATGGTAAAAATCAGGGCATGGTATCTACCATCATGACAATTCTATGCTTTCTAACTTATTTCACAAAATTTCTGCATATTATAATGGGAAGGTTATTTGGAGAATTTGTTTAGTTATTTTTTCGTTCTTTTTTGCTAATTGAGCGCTTGTTTAGGGGGTTCCATGCACCATTTTTTGAGATAGCAGCCATCAAAACACTTGGACACCTAATCCATCTTCGCCATTTTGATCCTTCATGGTCTTGGCACGCAAAATCCACTTGATGGTTGCACTCTCTGGGTCTAACTAGCAAAAGTTTTCGGGTCAACAATGTGTATGCCTTGAAAATAGATACTACCGAGAAGTCAAATTTCAAGAATCTCCCTTGTGCTGACAGATGCACTTTGTCTAGATGAAATAATGGACCTCATCACTTCCCTTGGTAAAAGTTCTACCCATAGACTTTCCATAGCTCCAAAGTTGGTGCCCTCACAATGGCACTGATTCCCCTTTTCTTGACGGAATATATGGCAAGGGATTGACTTCTACACTTTGACTGTAACATATGGCAAGGGATTGATGGAACATATGGCAAGGGAACACTTACATTTGGTGAGCCACTTAAGCATTAGATGACTTGTATATTTTGAGGGAGATTAATTCATCTTATATTGGCTGCTAAATTCTATGGGAATATTGATGTATAAGATAGTAGATACTTGTGAAGAAAAGTGATATTTTCTTGGACTTCATTTTGAGTATTTCTTCTTGCCAGGGCATCATAAATCATTTTGTGTGGACTCCCGAAGTGGCAGTCCATTTCATCCCATGATGGGTTATGCTTTATCTAAGTTAAAGCTTTTGTGGTCCTCTAATTGTCACAGTTGTATTTCTATATGCGTATGGATGGTCCAACAGGTGCCATGGTTATGTGGCCACAACAGTCTGTATTTGCAGGCTGGTGGCCTTACGTAAGCTTTCAGAATAATCATCAATATTTATGTTTGGGATTCTTGGATTGGTAAGATGGAGTAACTTCGCCTCTGATCCATATATATTCTGTCCAAATTCTGTGATTTGTTAATGATGGTTGCTGTTTCTTAGTTACATACATGGAAACAGTCCTTTTGCTGCTTGAGTTTTACTTATTAGTTATTTTTGGTTAAAGAGAAAATTTTGATTTTGATTTTGATGTTGTCATTGATTCATTTTATAGGTGACTGGGTATCCATTGAATCCACAAATTATGGGAGTTGACCTTAAGTATGTAAAGCAGTTTATAAGTTTGGTTGCTGGCCTTTCCTTTTATATTGATTATGGTTTTCATTTAAATTCCCTCCCCTGAGGTCATAGTTACTTTTTAAAAATATCAACTAGTATGTGATTTTTTGTTTTCTCCCTTTTGCTTGGATCATGCCTCTAACAGATTGATAGTTCATATTCAAAAAATTCACAGTTGAATTTGTTATTCTTGTCCATGTTGGATACCATTATCTAACAGTTGTAGGTCAGTGTCCCAGGTTAGATACATTTTTTATTGGTTTTGTTTGCTGCTTAATGCGTTTACGGTATTGTCTGGGCTTCTGCCATTGATATGAGATTGTTCACAATTATCCCTTTTGTAATTATCATTGAGAGGAAGTTTGGGAGTTGAGTCTTGTTTCTTATGTTCTTTAGTGTGTTTTGGTTGGGATTTGAATTGTTATTGCTAACTTATGCTCAAAGGTTTCCTTTAGGGAGTTTTGCAAGGTCACTAAAGTCTAGGGAAGGGACTCTTTCTCCCACTTTGAGTTTCCCATTTAACGAGAATTGTTTTAGATCCATATATGATGTTGACTGTGAGTTGCTAAAAGTCTAGTTCCTCTCTATCAATGCAGGATTGGATTCATATACTCTGTGAGCTTTCTTCTGATGTTCTTGTTCTGGATCTGCAACTTCCTATATACTTGAATCTTTTTTTGGATGGATCATGGTTTCATCATCAGTAGTGCACGACGAATATGTGATTAGTAAATGTCTGGATCAATTAAATTCTCACAATTCTTCATGAGTAGTTAATCTGAACTGTTAAGTTTTATATATATTTAGTTGGAGTGTAACTCAGTCTCCTTTTAAGATGGGTTGCCCATGTTCATAATGCACAACTGTGGACCTCGCCAAAACAAAAAAGACACACAGCAGTTAGAATATCTGTTTTCATGTAATTCCATTAAAATGTTTGTATGTTTTGACAGTTCCTTATGTTACAACCTTTGATATTATCTATTGTTTGATATGTCATTATACCTAATCATAATCATGAGTTAAATAGTCATTGAAAAGGAATAATGATGAACTCATGTGTGTCTGTTTTGTTGGTCCTGTCCCCTCAATGATTTATGATGTGTCACCTTTTGTAGCTTTATGAGCATGATGAAAAATTTAATCAGCCTATATTCTTCGGCAATAACATATCAGGTTTTGTTGAGCTTGTAAGTCGAACCTGACAACAGAAGAATAAAATAGTTGGACATGTGAATATATTCTTCTGTTGTCATTCTATGTGAATATATGTCATTCTATGTGAATATATTCATTGTATGTGAATATATGTCATTCTATGTGAATATATTCACATAGAATATATTGTGAATACATTCTTCTATGTGAATATATTGTGAATATATGTCATTCTATGTGAATATATGTCATTCTATGTGATTATATTCTTCTGTTGTCATTCTATGTGATTATATTCTTCTGTTGTCAGGCTCGACTTATTTTATTCTTCTGTTGAGCCTGTAAGTCTGAGCCTGACAACAGAAGAATGACAACAAAAGAATAAAATAGAATGACAACAGAAGAATAGAATCTTGAAAGAATGAGCTGTGGATAGAGAGCCCTGCGTTGATCTTCAGGTACTACCTGAAATAATTAGACACTTAGACACAATTGGACACATGCTAAATGAAAACATATGGGGATTGGAAAGTCTTCAGGTATCGAATGACAACAGAAGAATGACCGATGTAAGTCGAGCCGAGCCGATACAAGCCGAGCCAAGCCTATATAAGCCGAGTCGAGGTATTGAGAAAAAATAAAATAGTGAAAATGCAAAAAAAAAAAAAAAAAACTAATTACAAATTTCACTGAAATTTGTAGAATTTCAGTGAAATTTTAACGAAATTCAGTGAATTTTAATATAGCAAAATTGTGGAATTTTATTACATAGGAAAATTTTAGACATCATTTTTTATTCCCAAATTAAACTATCTTTTTTCGTTTCAGCTACAAATTGTTGTCTAAAAATTACAAACAGACAATCTTCAACTTTGTAGAAGTTAATTAGGGTTTTTATATCCCAATTCTTTGCTTTACAATGTGAACTGATACAAGTCTTCTCTCTCCCCTTCATTTCACTTTCTCAAATAGATTGTTCCTCTTTCAGGTGTTCCGGAATGGTTAATTAGACATGGCCCCGAAGCGGTTTGACCCCTGACCAGTAAATTGGCTGATTGGTTGTTTTTTTTGTTTGATTTTTTATTTAATAGGAATTTGTTTATTATTTTTTACAAATTTTTTTTTTTTATTTGATTTTTTAAAATTTTTCTGTTTTTCCTTGGGTTTTTTTGGTTGGTCTCGGTTTTGGCTAGAGTTGGCTAGCTCGGCTCGGCTTATTTTGGTTAGGCTCAACTTATATCGGCTCAGCTCAGCTCAAGAGAATTTATTATGAACCGATTTGATGGGAGCTGAGCCGAGTTGATTATAGCCAAAAAAAGCCGAGTCAAACCAAAATAAGCCGAGCTGAGCTCACAATCGGCTAGCTCCAAAGCCTAAAAAATGAGAAAACCACATAAAAATTGAGAGAAAAACAAAAACGTGACTAAGATGCGGATGGTTTACATTATGGAAGAGACACATGTATATGTGATAGAAATATAAATATTGAAATAGAAATAGATATTTTTTAGAAATAGATATTTTTGATTTGAAACAATCTAATTCATACATATTTATATATATGTAGCCATAGTCTTATATAGATACTGTAATGGGTTCTCACTCTCAAATTTTACTCTAGATAAATCCCAAAACTACTCCTTACTAAAGTTCTAGGTGAGGGCCAATCCATATTTCATTGATTCACGTCCCCATTAACAATCTATTGATCTACTCTCTTCTCTTTCTGCGTATCTTGATCAGAAACCGATCCATCTCTCTCAATGCATTTCTTGATCACATAACCAGCCGGCATGAATCTTTTCAAATATCTTCCTCTAGTTTAGACCATAAGGCTTCATTAGTCATTGATCAGAAATCCATTAATATTTTTCTTCTACTTTTACAATCAAGAAAATGGCGAAGGGTACTTCAAACGAAGATGACGAGCTCAACAACGAGAGCCACCCAAAAAGGAGAAACTATTTTGGTGGCCTTTACAGGAGAAGAGCTCATCGAGAGCAAGATGGTCCCAATTCTCACTCTAACACAAGCAGAGAAGCAATCTTCTCAACTTTCTTAGAAACTTGAAAACTTAAACATAATCCTTAGTTGTCATTAGTCTCTGCTTGATCTTAGTCTGATAATTGTGTTTGCTTCTCTCTCTACGCTCCCCATTTTTTTAATATGTATGAAGTGTGGTGTTGATTTTTTTCTTGTGATGATGTTGAAGGGTAATTCGTCCAATATATTTGAAATATAAATTAAAAACTATCGAGAATTTAATTCTTGTATTTTAGCATGTTCTTGTATCCTTCTAAATCAAATTGGAATGGGGTTTGCCTCTTTTACAGGGAATGGCTTTGTCCCCGCAAAACCCTTAGTCCACAAGAGGATCACAAGCTCATGTTTGGTTTCGTTTTCTCCTTCAAGTCCTTCACTACCAAGATGGATCCGTCACATAAGCCCGAAAACCTAACCTCTCTCCATCAACAATCTGTATATGCAGGCTGGTGGCCTTACGTAGTAAGCTTCCAGAATAATCATCAATATTTATGTTTGGGATTCTTGGATTGATAAGATGGAGTAACTTCGCCTCTGATCCATATATATTCTGTCCAAATTATGTGATTTGTTAATGATGGTTGCTGTTTCGGAGTTACATACATGGAAACAATCCTTTTGTTGCTTGAGTTTTACTTATTAGTTATTTTTGGTTAAAGAGAAAATTTTGATTTTGATTTTGATGTTGTCATTGATTCATTCTATAGGTGACTGGGTATCTTCCATTGAATCCACAAATTATGGGAGTTGACCTCAAGTATGTAAAGCAGTTTATAAGTTTGGTTGCTGACCTTTCCTTTTATATTGATTATGGTTTTCATTTAAATTCCCTCCCCTGAGGTCATAGTTACTTTTTAAGAATATCAACTTGTATGTGATTTTTTGTTTTCTCCCTTTTGCTTGGATCATGCCTTTAATAGATTGATAGTTCATATTCAAAGAATTCACAGTAGAATTTGTCATTCTTGTCCATGTTGGATACCATATATCTAACAGTTGTAGGTCAGTGTCCCAGG